CGTCTTATTCGCGCGTCTGCGGCCTTGTCAGTCCGCTCTGGTCGCTTCTAGCCTCTGGAGCTGTTTGGGCGGCGGGGAAAAGGCCAAGGAGGCCCAGGAGGCCCCGCACGGAGTCAAAAATGACGTGGGCCAAGGTGGGGGGGATCCGGGAGGGTGTCTGTGCCTGGGCCCCAGGGCCCCTGGTACCCCAGTACTGTTGTCCCTGGTGAGTGCAGCATCGATTCTGCGTGCAGGGTCTTCGAGTGTGGAGGAGCCGAGGCATGTCTTGCGCAAGGTCTCTCGTAGCGGCCTTCACGAATGCTGTAAAGGGTGGACGCTCACCTGCATCGCAAGCTAGCAAAAGACCCCCTTAACAGCTCGCGCTGCTGGACCGCGCGGACCCATAAGAAGAAGAGGGGCAATGTCGCGTGCCGCGCCTGAAACGTTCTGTGCTCAAGAGGCGCACGCATCTATCCGCAGAAACCGAACACGACTGCCCGCCAGAGTCCGTGCTCGGACGCCCGTGGCCGAGGCAGACTGTCGCAACTCCAACTCGTCCTGTGCGGACTGGGGGGACAAGACCCGAGATGAACGCCTGACAGCTGGGCGCCAGGAACCTGCGGCGGCTCTCGTGGACCGCAGTACAGCCATGATGGGGGATAGGACCCACGCAGCAGCCTCAAAGCTGTGGCTTGAATGGCAACGAGATGCTGCCGGACAGCTACTGAAAGTGGTGCAAAGGACCCACGCAGCAGCCTCCAGGCTGTGGCTTGAATGGCAACCAGATGCTGCCAGACAGCCACTGAGAGTGATGCAAAGTGGCACAAACCATGCACAGATGTCTCAAAAGCCCTGTAAAACAGACTACAGACATGCTGGGGGATAGGACCCACGCAGCAGCCTGGAGTGGCTTGAATGGCAACCAGATGCTGCCCGACAGCCACTGAAAGTGGTGCAGAGGACCCACGCAGCAGCCTCCAGGCTGTGGCTTGAATGACAACCAGATGCTACCCAACAGCCACTGAAAGTGGTGCAAAGTGGCACAAGCCACGCCCTGTAAAACAGACCCGTCTTGGAGGCCTCTTGGGCCGTCTTGGGCCAGCTTCGAGCCAACTTCGGCCATCTTGGTGGGCTCCTGGCCCGTCTGACGCTGTCGGAAGCCGTTCGGGGAGCCTTTTTGGGCCGACTTGGGGTGCTCCAGGGCCGTCTTAGAGGCCATCTTGGGCGTCTTCGAGGCCTCTTGGGCCATGTTTGTACCCTCTTGGGGCTGTCTAGGGGGCCTCTTAGGCAGTCCTGAGACCATCTTGGAGGCCTCTTGGGCGCTGTGGGGGCGATCTTTGGGGCCTCTTGGGCCGTCTTGGGCCGTCGGAAAGCCGAGAAGGCGCAAATGCCCAAATCCTTCAAAAATCCAAAGAAAATTAATGATTTGGGCCTCTTCGGGCCCTCCTGGAGGACCTCTTGGAGGCCTCTTGGGCCGTTTTGGAGGCCTCTGGGGAGCCTCTTGGGCCGTCTTGGGCCATCTTGGGGCCATCCTAGGCCGTCTTGGGTGCATCTTGGGCCGTCTTGGAGGCATCTTGGGGCCATCTCAGCCGTCATGGAAGCCATCTTGGCCGTCTTGGAAGCATCTTAGAGGACATCTTGGAGCCTCCTTAACCAGGAAAACCCTCGGCCACCACCTCTGGGCAATCCTTCCGGGTGGCCGGCGGGACGCGCCGGAACCCCAGGGGGATTTCTTGTGGAAAAGGACCAAAACCAAAAGCGATAGGATTCGGCACGCCAAGCACCCCTTTGAGAAATCAAAAGGGGGCGGCGGATAGAGGCCTTCGGCCCATCCCGCCACTGTGCCTGGGTTGTGGGTTAGAGGCCCCTTGGAAGTTCGTTTGGGATTCGTGGGAGGCTTGCCGGGGGCCACTCGAAAGCAATGTTGGAGGCCTCTTGGGGGCCGTTTGGGGTGCTCGTGGGGCGTCTTTTTGGGCCCCTTTGGGGCCTCGTGGGCCCTGGGGCCTGTAGGGCTTTGTTTGGGGCCTCTTGGGGCCTCCTGGAAGCCTCTTGGGGCGGGAGGCTCGAATGGTCGGTTCGTGTTCCCCCTCTTGGGCCCCTCTTGGGGCCGTCTTGGGACCCTCTTGGGCGATCTTGGGCGCCTCGCGGGCCGTCTTGGGGCGCTCGTGGGCCGTCTTGGGGCTCTCTTGCGCCGTTGTGGCGCCCTCTTTGGGTGCATCTTGGGCAGTGTTGAGCTGATTTCTGCGGCCTCGTGGCTGTCTTGGACCGTCAGAAGCACGAAACAGCGAGAACACACAAACCCTTCAAACACCGCAGGAAAACCTACTTGTTTCGCCTCCTGAGTGTCTCGTGGCAGTCCTTTTGAGAGCATATTGGCCGTCTTGAAGCCCTCTCTGGCTGTCTTCAAGCCATATCGGATCGATTTTGAAACGCTTTTATGCGGTCTTGGGCTCTCTTGGAGCGATCTTGGGCCATCTTGGCGCTCTCTTGGGCGTCTCTCGGCCACCTTGACGTCTTTTGGCGCCCCCCGCCGGGCCCGAAACGGCCGGAAGATAAATCAGTGCACTTCGGAGGGCCTGGGACCCCTACCCATATACACATATCTATATATATACACATATATATATATATATATATATATGTATGTATATATATATATATATATGTAAAACCATCGCAGGTTCAACCTCAGACCCGCGCAACGTCTGAATGCCGGATTGTGCTGCTGGACAGCAGGTTGGCATGATGCTCATGTGAGTGGCAGTCTGCTTCAAACAACCAGGGAACCGAAGGCCCCGAGCAACATCAGCCGCGGCATCACCAACATCCTAAGAAATGGGGAAGACGCCCGAGACGACGGAGAATGAGGCCGAGGTGGGACCCGCCGAGTCAACCGGACGAGGAGGGATGACGAAGAAGAGTTCCAACGGCCCTCCCTTCATCCCTTTCGGGGCGGGGGCCTTCCCCTACGTTCGGGGCCTCTTTTTGTGTTTTTGCAGGTCTCTTGGGGACGTCTTGGGGCTTCTCGGGCGCTTCTTGGAGCCTGTTGGGGTCTCCTGGGGGCCTCTTGGGCCAAATGGCTTGCATTTTCGGTTCCTCGTCCCCGTCTTGGGCGCCGATTTGTGCCGTTCTTGGGAGGTTTAGGCGTCTCGTGGGCCGTCTTGGCCCCCTCGTAGGCCGTCTTGGGGCCCTCTTGGGGGCATCCTCGACCGTCTTGGGTGCCTCTTGGGCCGTCTTGGACGCAGTGGAAGCCCAAAAGGCGCACACGCCAAAAGTATCAGTTTCGAAAAGGAAATCGACGATGTTTGCTTATTTAGGGCTCTATTGGGGTGCCTCTTGCGGCGTCTTCGGGGCCTCTTTTGATGTTTTTTCGGGTCTCAGGGGGGCCTCTTGGGGCTTCTTGGGTGCTTCTTGGAGCCTATTGGGATCTCCTGGGGCTCTCTTGGACCAAAAGGCGCGAATTCCCGGTTCCTTGTCCCCATCTTGGGCGCCGCCTTGGGGCGTTCTTGGGCGGTTTGGGCGTCTCGTGGGCCGTCTTGGCCTCCTCGTGGCCCGTCTTGGGGCCCTCTTGGGGGTATCCTCGACCGTCTTGGGTGCCTCTTGGGCCGTCTTTGGACGCAGTGGAAGCCCAAAAGGCGCACACGCCAAAAGTATCAGTTCCCCAAAAAAGGAAATCGACGATTTTTGCTTATTGGGACTCTCTCGGGGTGCCTCTTGGGGCGTCTTCGGTTCCTTCGGGGGCCTTCTTGGCATCATGGGAGTCGTCTTGAAAGGCATCCGGAGCCATCGGAGCGCGTTTTCGAGCGTTCCGAAACCATCTTCAGGCGATTTGGGACGGCCCCCGGCGCTCCGGCAGGGCTCCCGGCGCGCCGGGCTCCACATTTGCGGTCGGGGCTCCAGCCCCCGGCCCCCGGACCCGGTCCCCCGTTATATGTATATATATATATATATATATATATATAATATATATATATATAATATAATATAGATATGTGTGGGGCAGGCGGGGGGTGAGCGATAGCTCATCGAATTGAGGAGAAATGTCTTTCCCTCTTCAATCGGCCAAAGCTGTTGACAGAGCTTAAACTCCCATGGGCGCCTATATTTATATTTACAAAGGCCTCTGCACGGAGCTCGAAAGGTCTACTCTCTTTTGCACGGACCGACCCCCACGCCAGAGCACACACCGCACCCCGAGGCCAGAGCTGGATTCGCAGACCACCATCCGCAGACTGGGGTCGGCCACCATCACGGGAGACTGGGGCCAGAACGCTCCACGGCCTCGGGGGCCAGGGGAGGCTCGACGGCCTTGGGGGGGCCCAGCAAAGAGAACCCCCTGAGAGCTCAGCAGGACCGTGCCCAAGAAGCTCGAGCATTCGCGAGACTCAATGATGCATTCGCCACTTAGGGCGGTATGTGGGTGGGCCAGAACAGCTGCCATGCAAGCGAATACGGCCGATGTGACACGCTACCCCCCTGACGCCCACACATCTACCGTAAACGTATACATGTGTTGGGCAGGCGGGGGGTGAGCGATAGCTCATCGAATTAAGGAGAAATGTCTTTCCCTCTTCAATCGGCCAAAGCTGTTGACAGAGCTTAAACTCCCATGGGCACCTATATTTATATTTACAGAGGCCTCTGCACGGAGCTCGAAAGGTCTACTCTCTTTTGCACGGACCGACCCCCACGCCAGAGCACAGACCGCACCCCGAGGCCAGAGCTGGATTCGCAGACCACCATCCGCAGACTGGGGTCGGCCACCATCACGGGAGACTGGGGCCAGAACGCTCCACGGCCTCGGGGGCCAGGGGAGGCTCGACGGCCTTGGGGGGGCCCAGCAAAGAGAACCCCCTGAGAGCCCAGCAGGACCGTGCCCAAGAAGCTCGCCAACTCTCGAAAAAGACACCGAAGCTCTCCATTCTGTGTTTTTCCTCTGGCCGTAGGCCGAAGATATGTCAAGCCTGGCGACGGCAGCGCGGGCAGCAGCTCGCACCAGACATCAAAAATTATGCAGCAGTTCACGGGCTGCAAAACGCTCGGACTCGAGCGAAAAGTGCATTGGAGAACTGCTGGAGCGTCGAACGGGTACGATCCTGGAGCTTCATCTCTGCGATGATGGCAGCCCCGTCTTGGATGTATATCTTTGCCGTTCTTGCCGAGCTCCAGCGCCCACGCAGCATGACCTTAGACAAGTCGCCCGACAGCAGGAACTCATGCGTGGCACCTCCGCGCCTTAGGCTGTAAGGAGACAGGGCGAGGTGCTTGCAACCGATCTGCTGGAGCCCAGTACGGAACAAGTCGTGAAAGGCGCGCGTCGTGCCAGGCCAGAGCCGGCTGTCACGCTGGAGCTGCGCATGGGCGACTGCCCCAACCAGCGGGTCGTCGAGCGTGACTTGCTCCCGCGCGCCCTTCTGGCAAGAGGTCTTGGTCCAGGGCAACGACACCGCGCCTCGGCCACAGGGCTTCAGAAAGATGACGCCGCCGCTCAGCCCCAACGCCTCGCCAGTGCGGAGACAGAGATGGAAGGCCACGAGCAGCGCGGCCGCGAAGGCCACCTCTCCGCGGCTGAGCGCCCAACCGGCGAGCGCCGTGCAGACCTGGGCAGGCATCGGCGGCGCGCGCTGAGGGATCTCCAGTCTGCCCCAGACTGTCAGCAGCTGCCAAGCGCCAGGATAGCGGCGTCGTGTCCTCAGCAGGTGCTGCACGCCGCTGAGGGTGTCATTGGCTTCTCCTTTTGTGGCGCCCTCGGCCCACAAGTGCTCAAGATAATCTTGCAGGCAGATATCAATATCGTCCCAGGTGAAAGGCAGCGGCAGGTTATTGGCAGCAAGGTAGTCAACAAAACGCTGAGCGGCGCCACGGTAGCGGGCCAGTGTCGAGGCCTTTATCCTGGCGTCCCTCAGCTTCCCCATTCCAGCTCTGGCGGCGCGGCGGTCAGCAAGGCTACTCCGCTTCTTACCCATCGCGGAGGCGCGAGGGGGCGTCCGCGGGGTTGCGAGCCGACGACGTGAAGCCGAATACCGCCCGCGCGCCCATCGCAAGCTCCCACGCCGAGAAGGTCCGCACGACCTTGTTGAGCTGAGGACTGCTGGAACGGTGCTTGGACAGCGCACCGATGTTGACCATGCTGTCGAGCAGGTGCAGGAAGACGCACTGGTGGCGGCGCACCGACCGCGCCCGCCATCGAATCATCATCAGCGCGCCCTGGCACTCAAGAACGTTGATGTGCTCTGCTGCATCCCACACTAGCTGCCTTGCCTTGCGCCACCGCCAAATGCCTGAGTCGATCTCCTGCCGCGGGAAGATCTTGCCGAGCGCCTCCGAGGCGCCATCGGTCCTGATGTCTGCTCCGTTGTTGTGGCACGCCATGACGAGCCCCATGACGATGCGTCTGGGCGCGTCCAGCTCGCGCCACTCCACCACGTCACGCTTCGCCAACTCCGCCAAGAGGATGTCGGCATGGCACGCCTGGTCGGGCCCACAGTGACAGACCAGTAGGGCCCCGCGCAGCGTCTCCAAGCTCTGCAGGAGGGTGGGCTGCGTGCGGATCCAACCAGCGAACAGGGCAACAGCGTCCTCGCGTGACCGCTCGGGGCTGATCGTGAAAGGGTTGCCCCACCGCGAGGCGGCCAACCCCCAGCGGCGAGACCCACGACCCACGTAGATGGGCCCGCCAGCCTGGTCCAGCTTGGCGTGCAGGCCCTCGTCGATCTCGGAGCGACCGCACCGCAGCGACGTCACTTCGCCGGCCCACAGCTTCCTGCCACCAGCCCAGGCTCGCGCACTCTCGTGCAGCTCACCCAGCGAGGGCACCGAGACCAGCAGCCCAGCTCCGACGGCCCAGTGGCTGATGATCCAGGCCACGACCTCGCACTGGAAGGAGTTGCCCACGAGCGACCGCCGAAGAGCCTCGTACTTGGCGGGCTCGGCCTTCGCCTGGCTGCTCGTCATGCACGGCACGGTGTGGCCCTCCGGGAAGCCCATCAACTTCTCTCGTATGGTCGCGTCAGGCGGCTCCACGCGGCCATCCGCCTGGTGGATGCACCACTTGTCACGGAACTGGTAGGGCGCGAAGCGAAGCCCGCCGCCTCCCAGCGCGCCAGCTCAGCAGCGCTGCACTCCCCGATGCCCGCAGGCCTGGGGCGCGGCTGCGAGCGCGGCGTCCAGCGCACGAAGGTCGGGAGCGGCTCCCCTGCAGCGGGACCCGGACACACAGCCCCGGGCGGGAGCCACTCCTCGAGCGGCGGCCGCTCCGCCTTCAGCGCCACCTTGCAGGCGCGCCGAACGTCCTGGGTCTTGGCCCGCACCACGACGGGCTCAGCCTCGAAGGACGGCAGGAGGTCCCACGAAGCCCAGTAGAGCCGCGGACGTCTGACCCAGCCGACATCCCCCGCCTCATATCTCCAGCGGGATGCGGCCGAAGAGCTGGTTCAGGCGCAGCACGTCGCACTCGGGCATCGACGCGACGTTCTCCCCGAGGAAGTCGATCGACGCCTCCGGCATGGCCGTCCGCAGCCCGTCCACGATCCGCACTATGTGGTCAACCAGGCCCGCGCGCGGGTCGTCGAGACCCTGCCGGGCGACGTTGAGGCCCGCGAAGACCTGGCACGGGAAGCCGCCCACCACCAGCACACGCGACACCCGGCCTCGGGCGCGCAGCAGGGCTGCCAGGGCCACCGGGTCCGCCTCCGTCACGTCCCCCAGGTGCTGCGTGCTGGGGTAGCTGCGCCGGGCCACCCGCACCGCCGTGGGGTCAACCTCGAATGACAGGTGCACGGCAGGGACCAGTCCGAGGATCTCCAAAGCCCGGCGCCCGCCGCCGATGCCGTCGAAGACAGTCACGAGGGCGGTCTCCTCCTCGCAGGCGGCGTTCGCGGGCCGCTGCCGCCTCTCGGCCAGCGCGCGCCCGCGGTCGGAGAGGGCGTAGCCGTAGACCACGGCGCCAGCGGCCTCCGAGGCATCCGACGCGGTCACCAGGGGGTCGACCTCGAGGCGCAGGTCAGCGACGCAAAGCCCTGACAGCGCAAGGCGCATCAAGAGGTCCTCGACCACGCTCACGCTGAAGCGGCCGCCAGTGCGCGGGTTCGCGAGCCACTTCCAGGTGTAGGCGAAGCTGGCCGCCAGCGGGCGCCGAAAGCAGTGAACACGAACCCAGCGGCCCAGCAGAATGCGCACCAGCCGCATGCTGGCCCGCTTCTTGCTCAGCGTCCACAGCGTGAGGCTGGCCATCTCGGTAAGGTAGCCCGCAGGGGGCCGCCGAACGCCCTCGACCCCGTCGATGAGCTCCCCCAAGGTCGTCGCTCGCGGCACTCGATGGATGTCCTTGGACGGCGACCCCGGGGAGCCCGCAGCCGCATAGCAGGCGCGAGCCTCGGAGATGAGCTCGGGCACCGTCCCTCGCAGCGTCGCGGCCTCGGACTTGCTCACGACCTCCGCGACCTCCAGGTTGTCAATGTAGACCATCCACGCCGGAGGGCACGGCTTCTCCACGCTGAACGGCAGCCGTCGGCGCCGAGTGATCTCCTGGGTGGGCGGCAGGCCGCGGGGGACAGAGGCGCTCCGCCGCAGCATGTTCCGGTGGAGGTGGGTCGTCACGCCCACGGCACTGATCCAGCCCATGCCGATCACCCGCAGGCAGATGTTCGTGGTCCCACCGTCCTTCAGGCCAAGCAACTCCGAGGGGACGGGCGGCCCTATCACCATGTAAGGCCACCACACAGGCGGCGCGCGGACGACGTAGAAGAAGGCCTTTCTGTCCGCGCCGCTCCACAGGAGATCCTCCGACTCGGCCAGCACCAGGCCGTTCAGCTGGCTCATGGTCGGCATCTCAGGGGTGTCTCCCACGATGCACTCCTGGCACGCGTTCGAGGGGATGAGGTTGGTGATCAGCCTCAGGACCGGCCTGCGCTCGCCGTCGCTGCAGACCACGGGCTCGTCGTGGGGCTTGGGCACCCCGAGCGCCCCGTTCAGGAGCGGGGCTCCGTCGCGACAGGCAATCTCGCTGCTCGGGATCGCCGACACCATACCGCGCTCGTGGAGCGCCCGCACGATCCGATGCCACTCCTCGAGCGAGGCCCACACGCGCGCAGATGTCGGCGCGGGCCGCCGCAGGGCAGCGGGCAGCAGCACCAGCCTCGGGTCCAGGAGGGCCTCGCGCACGAACCCCGTCGCGAGGTCGGCCGCCTCGATGGAGGCCGCGACGCCTGGCGGCGGCAGCCCGTCCAGCACCTGCTCCAGCGTCAGCCGATGCAGGGCCGAGATCTCGCCCCCGCCGTAGCCGATCTTGCGGTCCTTCAGCCGCACGTTCCAGTCAAGATCTGGCGGTAAGGCAGACTCGGCCCGCGTAGCCAAGAGGAGGCGGCGGCCGAGAGCGACCAGGGCTGCCTGCTGCGCGGCGTTGGCTCGACCTCGGCAGGGCCTGGCCAGCTTCAGGGAGCGGAACCCAGACTCCCAGTTTAGCGCCAGGACAGTGACCACCAGCCTGCAGTGTAGTCCTTCCCACTCCTTGTCGCTCAAAGGGTCCTCGCCCTGCTGGGCGATCTGGGACCTGGTGATCGAAGGGTATGGTAACGGCAACAGATCTCGCTGAAGCTGACCTCCCATGTCGGCCGGATGCTCGCGTGGCTTTACCTCGAGGGAATACCTAGTGAAGCGACCGAAGGAGCCTGGGAACTGGCGGACTATGTTCAACAACACGGGGCCCACGTCGAAAGGTTCTCGCAGAAAATCACTCGCCGCGCCAGCCCACTCGCGCCACTCTGCCAGCGGATCACCGTCACAGTCGGCATCCGTACCACAGGCCGGCGGGCGCGACGAGGACGCTGGGCGGCGAGCGGCGGCAGCACCACCACGGTCAGGAGCCAATCTCGGAGGCGGCGAGCGCGACGGTGAAGTCCAGGGCGGTCTGCGCGAGCGGGCAACCTCGGCAAACTCGGTCGCACTCGCACGCGCATCATCAGCGCTGGCACCATCAGCTCGCTGCCTCACTTCAGCGTCGCAGGAAGGCCGCCTCGGCCTCGGCCCCTGTGCTTCCTGCCGCCACGGCGGCGGCCGCTCGGGGGGGCCGGGCCTCGCGGCGGACCTTGCTGCAGGCCCGCTGCCGCCGCGGCCGCGGGCTGGTCCTGCCTGAAGACGTGGCGCTCCGGGCTCGTCGCCAGCAAGACACGCCTCGGCCCGTCCGCCGCCCTCGGGTGCGGGCTGTCGCCTCGAGGCGTCCTCAGCGCCCCCGGAGACGGCGACCTGCCCGCGCTGCCTGAGCGCGCTGCGCCTGGCGGACCCGCGGGCGGGGCTGCGGCTGCGGGCCCTGCCCAAGGCCGTGCTGGGCCCCCCGCCCGCAGGGGGAAGAAGCGGCCTCGGCCGCGCCCGCGGCTCTTCCCGCGACCGCGGCCCTGCTGGCGGCTCGGCGAGGGCGAGTGGGCTCCGCCGCTCCCGCGCCTCGCCTCCTCGGGTCAGGCTTGGCGCTCGCCCTGACCCTTGCCGCCGAGGCCGCCGCGGCTCTTCGCGTCCATCAGCTTCCTGCGCAGCAGTGCCGCCCGCCGCGCCAGGTCCTGCTCGCCCATCGAGGCCAGCGAGGGCCGCGCGTCCGGCACGATCTCCAGCTCGCTCGCCACCTGCCAGCTCGCGTCGGACAGCTTCAGCTCCAGAGCCTTGAAGCGCTGCATCAACACGTCGCTCAACTCCGCCAGGCACCCACTCTCCAGCAGGTCCAGCGCGGTCGCCAGCGTCTGCAGCTCCCGCTGAGTGTTGATCCGCATCTGCCCTGGAGGGTGATGGCCGAACACCACGGCCTGCAGGTAGCCCACGACCTTCGCTCGAACCTCTGAGCTGTCCGCCCCCTCCCGCAGGCCCATGACGCGCCCGATGTTCTTCATCGCCTCGTCGTGCAGGGCACCTGGGCGCTTCTCCGCCAGCAGCCGTGCGCTGCCGCCGCGGGAGGGGGCCTCGCGAAAACGCGACTCACCGTCGTCGTCGCTGCGCGAGGCCGAGGAGCTCCGGGGGCGGCGGCGGCCGCGACCGCCACCAGCGCGGCCAGGCGTCGCCGCAGCAGCCTGCGCGCGCGCCGCGGCAGCTGCCGCCAGGCGGTCGGGGGCCGCGCCCCCGGCTGGGGCGCCCCCCGCCAAGGCGCCGCCGCCGCCGCGCCCACCGAAGGCGCTCGGCCGCACCCGCGGCTCCACGAACCCGCGGTTCGAGCGCAGCCGCAGCCACTCGACATGCAGGACTCCTCGGCCTGGCACAGCGGGCTCCCCGCACAGCGCCGGTCCCTGCCCGCAGGCCCGGTGCCGCGCGGTGGGAACAGGCCGTCCAGCCGCATCGCCTCGGCCGCCAGCGACGCCCCCCTGAACTGGGCGCTCAGGTACTGCCCAGAGGGGCCCGTGGTGCCGATCTCCTCTACCTCGAAGAGGGCCGTCCCGCTGATGCCTCCAGCTGCGTCGAAGGTCGGGGGCTCGAGATTCACCCCTCGGCGCCAGTCGGCGCCAATCAGAGTCACGGCCTGACGCCGCGGACCGTCCACGAGTGGTCCCAGCTGCGCGCCGCCCGCTGGGGCGATCGGACCGCCAGCCACCGCGATCGGCGCACCAGGGATCGCTGGGGCCCCCGGCACCGCACCAGGAGGAGGGCCTCCAGGAGGGCCGCCGCCGCCGCCCGCGAGCGCGCCCACCAGCGCGGCGCCCACGCCGCCGGGGGGGGCACCTCCGCCGTCAGGCACGGCGCCGCCCGCCGGGGGCGCCCCAGCAGCCCCGCCGCCTCCGAAGCCCGGCAGGCCGGGCAGCGCCGCCAGGCCAGGCACCGCGGGCGCGCCGGCACCGCCGCCCGCGGGCGCGGCCGCCGCGGCGCCGCCGACCGCCGCGGCCGCCGCCAGGCCCGGGGCAACAGGCGGGAAGGCGGCGGCACCTCCGCCTCTCCCCGCGGCTCCTCGCCCGAGGCCGCCGGCGCCGCGCCCTCGGCCGCGGGCGCGTCCTCGGCCCAAGGCCTTCGCCTTAGCCTTAGCCTTGGCCTTGCCCTTGGCGACGGCCTTCGCCTTCGGCGCCATCGAGCCCCAGGCCGGCGAGCGCGGAGAGCAGCGCGCCCAGGAGCCGGGCGGAGTCGAGCAGCGCCGCCCTCTCCTCCACGCTGAGGCGGGCGCGCCACGCCGCCTGCCGAATCAGACCGATGATGTAGCGCAGCTCCCAGACCTCCAGGAGGGACCCGCCCTCGGCCAGGGCCAGCGACTCCCCTCGCCCGAGGGGTCCCGCGCACCACCCGCAGTATCGCACGGGCGGAGGGCGCGGCACGGTGGTCCCGGGGGCGTCCATGCCCTCCCTGGAGGGCGCGGAACCAGCCAGATCAGCTGCCATGTGACACGCTACCCCCCTGGCGCCCACACATCTACCGTAAACGTATACACACATATATATATATATATATATATATATATATATATGAAACGATACCCCTCTCCCCACTAATCATGTCCGCGCACGCACCCCCAGGATGCGCTGCTCCGTCGGGCGGAGACCTCAGTTCGGGAAATGACTGTCCGCTGCGATAAGCGGGCTGCTCCTCCACAGCCGAGGGGCTAGGAAAACGGCCTCCCCCGAGAACAAGCACTGACGCGCTAAGTCGAACGAGCTTCGGCCCGAGGCTCCAAAACCCCCTTCTGATATTATAGATGGAGGCCCTCGCAGGGGACACTCGGAGACCTGGCGAGCGCGTGGTGAAAACCGCCAGGCCTCTTGGTGGCTAGGATTGCGCAGCGTACGCCGTCGCTGCTCCTACTCTCAACTGCGCGTGTGGGAGCTCTGTGCTATCGCAGATTACTGTACGGCTGCGGCACACACGATGGAGCCCATCCAGCTCTTCGGACTCGAGCCCAATGCACATGAAAGTGCAGCGGTGCCTCCAAGACGCCCCGAACATGAATCTATCACTGGCGAATTTTCTAACGTGGGCGGCAGACAAGTCCTCAGTGCCAAGCGCGAGATGTGACCGCACCCGACTCCCTTCTGGCATCTCAAGGACAAACGGAACTCGAGCCCTCATCACATTCGAGCAAGCCGACTCAGCCTTTCGGCAAACCCTTTCGCCCTGTAGTGATTACATCGGTTGCCGCTTGCCTTGCTAGCACCTGGGTGAAACAAACAGGAGCAACGCCTCCTTTCGCCTCAGATGGCCCAACACTCGCTGCTCCAACGGAGCGTCCAACCTCTGGTCGCCGAGCGTGTCTGCGCGCCGAATCCAGGTGGGTATACCCTGGGGGGCCAGCTTTGATCCGACTGTGCTCACCTGGTCTCCTATCAGCAGCGCTGTGCTCCGCGCGGCGAGGGCTGGGCGCCGCCTGGCAGCGGTGCCGCGCGGCCCTGCGGCAGGGCGGGCCCCCGCTCGCGCTGGCACTGCTCGCCGTAGACCAGAAGTGTCGGTTTATGGATCTGCGTCTGCTGCCCCAGCCGAGCGCTCTTCTTGTGCCTGGCCATGTCTTTCAGCCGCAGCCGCCCTTCGCCGCGCTGCACTTCCGCCCGGCTGCGCTCGGTCGATGCTCGCTCCCGAGCGCCGCGCCCGGCATGGCGCCGTCCGCCGCGGCTGAAGCGCGCAACAGGTATCCTTACTTCGACGCGGGACAACGGGGTCTTCGAGCGGCCGCGCTGACCGCTGGAGGTTCATCCTCTGCAGCGCTGCCAGAACAGGCCCGGGCCGCAGCGGCCGCGCCGAGTCCAGCTCCGCACTCAGGTCGGAATTCCCAACCTGGTCTGGCGTTGTCCAGTCCTGCGGCATGGGCAGTCCCCCGCGGCGGCCCCCACCGCACGGCTTCACTTGTCCCCGGGGCGCAACCTGAAGTGGAAGGGCGGCCTCGGGCACGTCGAGACCGCCAGCGCTAGAAGGACAGCCATCCTGCAGTGGCCTCTCTGTGCCAGGCTAAGCATGAGGACGCCCAGGTAAGCAGCGACCCTGACACCTCGGTTCGACCAAGAAGGAGGACCGAGTCCACGTGGCGAACCAGGCGCGCGCCCATCGACTCCAAGGGCCGCTCGAAGAAGTCATCGTGGCCACCTCTCTTCACATGCTCGAGCATCCAATGGTACTGGGCTCGCGCGGTCTGCGTTGCGGCGCTCGACTCCAGGCCGTGGTAGATCATCACTTTGACCCCGTTCGCTCCGACGTCCGCCCGGCGCCTCGGCCTCGCCCGTCTCGACAGCATCCGCTGGCGCCTGGAAGCGCTGGCGGCCTCTGACTCGCTGGCAGTGCCGCTCGAGCTCGCTTCGGCTGATCGAGCCTGCCTTCCAGCGACGCGCCTTCGGGCGTCGGCAGCCTTGGGCTCCGATGCCACCTCCAGGCCCCCTGGTAGGGCAGCCGCCGCCTCGCCGGCAGTCGGTCTCGGCGATGCTCGCGCCCGCCTGCTCTTTTCGGCCCCCGAGGCCCTGGCCCAAGCCCGCAGTCTCGGTCGAGGCCTCCACTCTCGCCGCGCCCGTCGCATGCGACTGCAGCCGCTGGCTCGCGCAAGCGGCTTTGAGCCAACATGTCTACGGATGACGCCGAAGAATCAGTCGGCCCTATGCGGCCTCGAGTGCTCACATCGTCAGAATAAGTTATCCCAGTCACACAAGCCTCATCCGACTTGAAATCTGACTCAAGTTCCTCTCGCCGACAGCGCGGGGGTGTCACATGGCGTCCCGGCCCCCGGACCCGGTCCCCCGTTATATGTATATGTGAATATATACTAGAACCATCGCGCGCGCTTAGGTTCTAGCTGGTCGAGTGCTGACCGCATTGAGACAACAAGCCGGTCATGAATAATGAGGTCAACATTCTCTGTTTCCTCTTGTCCCTTCCTCATTTCTTCTTCCTCCGCTCTCATCGACTGGTCGACCGGTGATCTGTCGCCAAGCTATGGGCCAGGAAAAAAGCAGCGCCACAGCGCCATGCTGCACTATGCTATGGAATGCGATGATACACCATACTACGAAATGAAGCGCAATGTCACTATCCAGTATGCAATGCAATAGCATGATCTACTCTACAGTGCGCACTGCATGCCATGCCATGCCATGCTGTGCTGTGAAATGCTATGCTAATATATGGGATGATACGCTGAGCCTTATAGCTATGCTTCCTGTGAAGAGCGATGCTACCATGTTGCATGGTATGCACAGACACGACATACCATGCAATGCAATGCAATGCACTGCGATGCCATGTTATGAGCCGCTAGGCCATCAAACAACGAACGTAAGAGCCAGAACGGGGGTGTGATATTTGCATGATGTCGGCTGACTTTCGCGCAGAGCAGCACAGTGCTGTTCAATTCGTTTATGTACATTGGAATGCCGTAGTACGCCACGATGCGTCATGAGATGCAATGCGATGCTGGGTAATGTTACGTCGTGACGTGCAGTGCTAGGCTCAGCTAGACACTGCTATGTAATGCAATGATATGCCATGCTGAACCATACTGTGATATGCGCTGACACGATAGGCCCTGTCGTGCTGTGCCGTGCCATATCATGTCATGCAACGCTGCGATGCCACGATAGGCTAGGCGGTCCTTTGACATGCACCGGCACGTTTTTGGAGGCCTCTTGGAGGCCGTTTGGGGTGCTCTTGGGCCTCTTTTTGGGACTCTTTGGGGCCTCGTGGGGCCTCGAGGGGGCCTCTGGGGGGCCTCTGAGGCTCTGTTGGGGGCCTCTTGGGGCCTCCTGGAGGCCTCTTGGGGCGGAAGGCTCGAATTGTCGGTTCGTGTTCCCCCTCTTGGGCCCCTCTTGGGGCCGTCTTGGGGCCCTCTTGGGCGATCTTGGGCACCTCGTGAGCCGTCTTGGAGCGCTCTTGGGCCGTCTTGGGGCTCTCGTGCGCCGTCGTGGCGCCCTCTTTGGGTGCCTCTTGGGCCGTGTTGAGCTGATTTCTGGGGCCTCGAGGGCTGTCTTGGACCGTTGGAAGCATGAAACAGCGAGAACACGAAAACCCTTCAAGAACTATCGAAAGAACCAACCTTTTTCGCCTCTTGAGTGCCTCGTGGGAGACCTTTTGAGGGCATCTTGGCTGTCTTGAAGCCCTCATGGGCTGTCTTCAAGCCATGTTGGACCAATTTTGAAACGCTCTTGTGCGGTCTTGGGCTCTCTTGGAGCGCTCTTGGGCCATCTTGGCGCCTTCTTGACGTCTCTCGACCCCCTTTGACGTTTTTTGGCGACCCCCGCCAGGCCCGAAACGGCCGGAAGATAAATCAGTGCACGTTGGAGGGCCCAGGACCCCCTGCACATTTTATGATACATATATATATATATATATATATATATATATACTAGAGCCACGCGCGCTTCGCGTGCGCTTAGGTTCTAGTCGCGCTCGAGGGTCTATCATCGCAAATTGCTGTTTGGTGCTGCCAAATTGACTCGGGAGTTCCCTGAAGGTTGGTCGCGGGACCTGCCGCTATTTGGTAGATAACCCAACAAAAGTCGTGCAAAGGGGTCTTCGGGGGCTTCTACGACGCTTTCGTCTATGGCCGAAGAAGATCAAAGAAGAACTGGGGATGTCGGTGCTCTAACCTATTGCAGATACATTGGGTTTTCCTAGTCTAGATCGTCGTCATCAACTCTAAAGTGCCAGGCTACAGCAGAATGCTTCTGCGCGACGCTCTGCCAGCGAGCGATTCGCCCCGCCTGGAGCATGTGGTCGCACGAGTCGAGCCTCGACCAAGACGGGAGCAGCTGCCCGAACATCAAGTCTCGAAAACTGCGGTCGAATGCGTCTAGGTCTGGGATGCGGCCCAAGATCACCTCCTTGTCCTCTGGCATGCTGGCCTGCGCGCTGCTGATTTTCAGGTCGACGAGTCCGTCCCGATTTTTCTCCAGGTGGGCCAGGGACGGCAGCTGTAGCGACTGGGACATGCCTGCTGAGTGGGCGGCAGCAATCTCGGCCACGCACCAAGCCCGGTTGAAAATGTCGAAGCGCTTGTCAACTGCAACCACCTGGGCGAACTCACTGTTGCCAGCTGACAGAGACATCATCAGCTGATCGAACTTGTTCATCTCACACGCCACACTTTGTCGCCTGGAAGATGAGCGTTGTCCATCGCTCGTAGGAGGCGGAGTGGTGTTGAATGCTTTTGGCAGGCCGCACGGGCAGAGGGGGTAGTGCTCGCCCGTCACCGAATCCCTCCTTGAATACAGATACGCAGCGCAGATGCTGGTGTGCTGATTCACCGAGAAGGCGCACACCCAGTACGTTCGAGATCCAACTTTTGACTGGGAAACCCACCTCATGAGGGTGTCGATGTCGTGAATGAGCAGGGTCGACACCTTGCAATACTCCACCTCGGAAAGAGCATCTGACACAATAGCCGCAATCAAATCGGTAAATATGTTCCCCCAGTTGTGAGTCACCATCTTGTTGGGCTGCACAGGGCTGTGGTGCATCATGATTTCAGCCATAGATGTTTTGCGTTCTGCCGACAGCGGAATGATGGCGCCTCGGACCACGTCCTCCGTGGTGTGCTTCCATGGGTCGAAGTACGGCATCACGTCGTTGCCCAGCCTGCAATAGAACTCCAGCAGCGCCTGCAGCGTGAAGCCCCTGCCGGCCAACTCCTCGACTTTGGCGTTCCAGTCCATATCGCCACGTGGTTCCCACTCCGCGGAAAACTGTTTCCAAGTGCGCTGGCGCTGACGCTCCGAGCGGGTCGTGGACAAGCCTCCACGGAGTGCCCCGAAGCAAGCTCCACTAAGGGCCAGGGCGGCAAAGGCGTTCAGCGTAGTGTCGACCAAAATTACACCCTGCACCGCGATCAAGAATTCGGGCGTCCTCTCGTCCACGGGACGCCCCAAGATTGGCCAAGAGAGGTCCGATGTCCACATTTTGCTCAAGTGTGCGACGAAGGAACTCACAATCCCCATGGACGATCCCACCATCTGGAATATCAGAAACCGAGGGACGTTTCGGGTCTCCTCGGTTGCCACCCCTCGCCGCTGCGTCTCGCGCGCCATCGCCAGCACACACCAGTATGCGCGCATGAACACGACCATCCCCACCACGCACGACAACACTACAAGCCAGACGAAAGTGCCCATTATGATTCGCGTGGGATGGCCCGAAGGTCCACGCGCAAACCTGCTGCAGATGAACGCGCACGTGCCGAATATTGTTATAGCCACGATACTTCGGCGAAGGCGGAGGGAGCCGAGATCAAGACATGAACTTCTTTCCAGGGCCCTGACCTGACGCAGCAGCAGCAACCAGAATAGTGCCATGCTCAGGGGGATCAGATTAGAGCTCAATATGGCGAACAGCTCCCCGTTCAGACCGTTGCATTGGAGCAAACTGTACACCGCGACAGCGGTCGAATCCAACCACAGACAAGCCGCGTACTCTGCAACTCTGCACATGTGACTCGTGGCCGCGAAAGCGAGCAAGCTGAACGCGGTTGGCGCGGTAAGCGCCATGGCCACGACCTGCACGGCGAAGATGCCGCGGTGCGCTTCTGCCGCCTCCGCGGCGTCCAGATGCCCCATGCGCACGTAAGCGTCCACCTTGTCCTCGCACTCTTTGAGGGACCCCTTGCCACCGCCCGCGATGGCGGCTACAATCACGCTCAAAGTTAGAAGGACCACCAGCACTGCGAGCGCTCTGTGCACCACGCCGCTCAGGCCCTGCCACAACCTTGCGCAGAGACCAGCGTGGCTGCAGCGCTTCTTCGCATTCTCGACGCCCGCGGCAGAGGTACTCATGTCCCCACGCCCCTGGTGACGAGCAGCGATGTTTCTTGTCCCAGGAGGGTGCTGCCGGACTCGGGCACGAGATTCTTGAGCCAAAACGGCTACAGCACGACGACGACGACGACGACGACGACGACGACGGCGGCGGTGGCGGCGGCAGCGGCGGCGGCGGGTCCCGGCTTTACAATCAGGTCACGGGCAGGGAGGGCACGCCGCAGGATGTCCCCAAGGGAGGGGGGGGGTGGGAACCCCTCCCCCCCACGCGACGGGTTGTTACTGTGGCCCGTTGGGTGTTAGTGTGGCCCGTTGGGTGTTAGTGTGGCCCGTCGCGCGGCCGGATGGGAGTTACTGTGGCCCGCGCAGGCCGCTCAATGAAAAGTAAGATGTAAAGGTATCTCATGTTAGATCTGGAGAGATTCGCAACCCTTAAGGGGATGCACTCCCGCGCAGGCATAAGTGGCCACATTAACTCCCACCTGAAACCAACGTGGTAGTAGTGCTGTATTAGTGGTGTGGTGGTCGTTGTGCTGTGATAGTAATGTGGTGTTGGTAGTGGCTGGTTGTGCTGTGTGCTGTGTTAGTGGTGTGGTGTTGGTAATGATGTGCTGTGTTAGTGGTGTGGTGTTGGTAGTGTTGTGTTAGTGGTGTGGTGTTGGTAGTGTTGTTGAGCTGTTGGTAGGTAGTAGTGTTGGGTAGTGGCAGTGGTGCTGTGGTAGTGGTGTTGTGGTACTGGTGTTGTGGTGTTGTGGTTGTGGTATTGTGGTAGCGGTGTTGTGGTGTTGTGGTGCTGGTATGGTGGTAGTGGTGCTGTACTGTGGTAGTACTATGGTAGCGTTGCGTCCGTACTGTGGTAGTGTTGTAGTGGTACTAATGTTTGAAGAAGCTCTGGGAGCTCAATTTTGAAAATCCTCCCTCCTCCCTGCTCCCTACTCCCTCCTGCCTCCTCCCCGTCCTCCTCCTCCTCCTCCTCCTCCCTCCTCCTCCTCATCCTCCTCCTCCTCCTCCTATTCCTCCTCCTCCTCCTCCTCCTCCTCCTCCTCCCTCCTCCCTCCTCCCTCCTCCCTCCTCCCTCCTCCTCCTCCCTCCTTCATCCTCCCTCCTCTCCCTCCCTCTCTCCCTCCCTCCCTCCTCATCCTCCCTCTTCCCTCCTCGCTTCTCCTCCCTCCTCCCTCCTCCCTCATCGTTCCTCTCTCCTCCATCCTCCCTGCTCCCTGCTCCTGCTCCCACCTCCCTCCTTCCTCCCTCCTCCTTCCTCTGCCTCCTCCCTCCTCCCTGCTCCCTACTCCCTCCTCCCTCCTCCCCCTCCTCGTCCTCCTCCTTCTTCTCCTTTTCCTCCTCCTTCGCCTCCTCCTCTTCCTCTTTCCTCTCCTCCGCCTCCTCCTCCTCCTCCTCCTCCTCTTCCTCTTCCTCTTCCTCTTCTTCCTCCTCCTCCTCCTCCTCCCTCCTCCTCCTCCTCCTCCTCCTCCTCCTCCTACTACTCCTCCTCCTGCTCCAGCTCCTCCTCCTCCTCCTCCTGCTCCAGCTCCTCCAGCTCCTCCAGTTCCTCCTCCTCCTCCTCCTCCTCCTCTTCCTCCTCCTCCTCCTCCTCCTCCTCCTCCTCCTCCTTCTCCGCCCCCCTCCTCCCTCCTCCCTCCCTCCCTCCCTCCCTCCCTCCCTCCCTCCCTCCCTCCCCCCTCCTCCTCCTCCTTCCTCCCTCCTCCCCTCCTCCCTCCTCCCCTCCTCCCCCTCCCCTCCTCCTCCTCCTCCTCCTCCTCCTCCTCCTCCTCCTCCTCCTCCTCCTCCTCCTCCTCCTCCAGCGCCAGCGGGTCGGGGCCCCCTCTGCCGCCCGCGCCACGGGGCCTTCGCCCCGCCCCCTCCCTCGCCCTCCGCGGCCGCCGCCATGGCCTCAGGCGGCGAGACTGCGCCGCGCGCCCCCCGCCCCCCGCGCACTGCAGCGGCGCGTCGCGCCCAGTACGCCCGCGCGGAGTGCAGGGCGGCGGCGCACCTCCTCCGCGCTTTCGCCGAGGTGCAGGGGCATCGAGGACAGGCGCTGTCGTTCCTCGCCCTCGCCCTGCGCCAGGCGCTGGAGTCTTCGCGAGGTGTCAATGGCGTGCGTGTGCCTCAAGATGGTGCGCGTGGTCATCCACCTGGTGCGGATCTTCCCCCAGTCGCGGGACTTCCGCCAGACGACCTTCCTGGTGCACATGCTCTTCCTCGCGATGGAGAGTGCGATCATCCACCGGTCGCGGAACTTCCCCCAGAAGCGGATCTTCCACCAGTGGACCTTCAAGGTGCCCAGGTTCTTCCTCACGATGTTGAGCGTGGTCACCAAGCTGGGCTGCACCTCCGAGGCGGTGTGCAACTACCTCCAGCAGGTGCTCCAGATCCACGAGCTGTCGCTCTACCTACCACACCTCCTGCCCACTCGGGTACTCTTATGTCTACGCCTCGTCGTCGACGGCGTGTCAAAGAGGCGCCTGAGCCCAAGGAAGCGGAAGAGGTCGAACATGAGGTCAAAGATGGATCGACGCTCCATGAGCGCCGATCCTCCGTCCCCTACGATGCGGTCTCCGTTGGATCCTCACCACTTGTTTCTGGCGCGGGTTTAGCTGAGGGCGCGTGCGCCCATGGCGCAGGCACCGCAGACACCACAGGGATGGAGACGCCCTTCCCTAAGGCTCCGGTGAAGTCTCCCACGGATAAAGCTGGCAAGGTTGGTGGGCTTGACTATGGCGGCTCTGTCAGTCCACCCGTAGCCCAGGTGTCCCAAGTGCTTACCTCGGAGCTCTCTGACGCGAAGTCGGGGGAAGGGCTCAGAGAGGCCCAGTCGAAGACCAGCGACAAAAATCCTGTGATGCAGCCAGCCCTCTGTACTCCCGTTCGGCGCGAAGGAGGTTTGCAAGGACACTGCGGAAGTACTCAGGATGCGAAAGCTGGTACAGAGACAAGGGCCGCAGGTTTGTTCACTGGCATTTTCGGGGCCACGTTTGGCGTGAAGACTGAAAGGGCGTGCGTCCATGATGCAAGCGCCAAGGTGGGGCCCTTTACGACTGCCAGCCCAACCGACTTGACAGGCGAGTTCACATCGAGAGCCACGCCTGAGTCGGCGGTCTTGCCGATCAGGCCTGCCGCACGGCCGCCTGCCTGTGCTCCCGTGGGCGCTCGGGTCACGGGGCAGGGGTCGTGCGGCAACTCTGCTGGACGCACCTGGCAGCCTTTCGGGGTGACGGCTGATGCGTTCTCCAAGGCTCATCGTGTGAAGGTTGATGAGGTCCACGATGGTCCGCGCAGTCTCACTAATCGAGGCGCTGCCAGTGCTTCAAGCCAAAGGCAAGATGACAAACAGCACCCAACTAGCCAAGCCCATGGCGAAACTAGCGGGGCGATGACGGTACAACTGCCGCTACCAGGACCCTACACACTGGCATGAGGGTCAAAGTCAGTGGCCGTTTGGTGACATCCGGTCCTGGCAAGCGGCGTGGCCGCCCTCGCCTCTCCACCATACCCTTGGGCCTGTGCGGCACAGTGCACAGCGTCGACTTCATGGTGGGAGGCTTCGGCCATACAGAGGAATCTGGTGCTCTCGTCGACTGGGACCCTCCGTACCAGTTTGCAGGTTGCTCCATGACCTTCCATCCACGGAGCGAGTGGCAGCATCTCTCTCCGAGATTAGGTGCTTGCTATCCCTCGGTGTTCCCTCTTTGGCCGAGCGACGTTTCGGGGTTGTGGGTCACACGAAGGAGGGGGGGCTTCTACGTCCGCCCCGTCACTGGCGTCCCCGTGTCGCTCTCCTGCTTCATGTTCGGCGGGTTGTTCTTCATCCGCGTGTGGGCCTTCCTACGCGTGTGGGTCTACCTGCCCCTGGACTGCTTCATCAACGAGTGGTCCTCCCTGCACACTTTCTTTTACCTTGCCCTCTGCGCTACCACGGCGTGAGGGCGCCACGCTGTCGCTCGTCGGTCGCGCCCGCGGCCGCTCGGGAGACACGCGTGAGGTGCTGCGCTCCTCCTCCTCCTCCCTCCTCCCTCCTCCCTGCTCCCTCCCTCCTTCTCCCTCCTCCGTCATATATCCTGTCTCCTGCCTCCTGCCTCCTGCCTCCTCCCTTCTCTCCTCCCTCCTCCCTCCTCCCTCCTCCCTGCTCCCTGCTCCTTCCTCCCTCCTCCCTCCTCCCTCCTTCCTCCTGCCTCCTGCCTCGTGCCTCCTGCCTCCTGCCTCCCGCCTCCTGCCTCCTCCCTCCTGCCTCCTGTCTCCTGCCTCCTGCCTCCCTCCTCCTCCCTCCTCCCCATCCCCCTCCTCCCTCCTCCTCCTCCTCCTCCTCCTCCCTCCTCCTCCTCCTCCTCCTCCTCCTCTCTCCTCCCTTCTCCCTCCTCCCCCTCCTCCCTCCTCCCTCCTCCCTCCTGCCTCCTGCCTCCTCCCACCTCTCTCCATGCATGTATACATGCATGCATACATGCACACATACATGTATGCATGAACGCGCGTATATACACATATACATAACATGTACACATCCCTCTATAATTACATATACATCTACATGTGAACGTGCATATGTGGATACATATACATACCTGCATATGCACATAACCATATACATCTCATATACGTAGACAGCTGCATATGCATATGCGTATACGTATGACTATGCGTACACATACACCTGCACATATACATGTTCACAGACATACGAATCCAAACGAACGTGTATACATCCATATGTATGCATGCACAGAATACATATACCTATACACAAACGCATCAGCATCAATATCACCATCATCAGCAGCACCATCGTCATCATCATCATCGTCATCATCAGCAGCACCAACATCATCATCATGAGCATCAACACCCACACCATCATTATCCTCCACACCGTCATCCTCCTCCTCATCATCAGCGTGGTCGTGGATATCGTCGTCAGCATCATCACAAAAATCACGATCACCATCACCATCATCATCGTCACATTCGTCATCATCATCGTCATCATCAGCATCTTGTGGGGCTTCTAGGACAGTACTTGAGGGCCC